AAWTRCSAYYWRCCRMYRCKAAAAAATTTGCTGGAAAKARGAAATTCCWAGATCRTTTTTTGGCAGTCCGAGATCTCGAGATTCTACCAAAAATTGCWGAGACCCAGTTATTTCTAGGTACCATTCGCCACCCCTAACTGAAAAGGTTTACAAAAAACTCTGCCCCCTAGATCCAAGGAAAGAACAAAATAAAAACAAACTTTGAAACGAAGAAGTTGCAATGCAACAATTTTAGCTGTAAAGATTGATCATAGTTTCAACATTTTAGTCTTTTTTAACACAATTATACACTCAAAAAAGGTTTTTATACTTTAGTCAGCTTTSTTATAAAAAATTTGATTCCTTCTCCCTTAATCACAACCTTTGTTTCTGGTCAGTCTTACAATGATGAGCTMCTATAACTGAAAACAGGTGATGACATTTTAAATAGTTTTATTAGGAAATCCAGTGTTCAAAATACAGTTATTTGACAAACATAACCCTTATTGTCCACTTATCAACTGATAACAAACCAACTACAGCATTAAGAGTCTGTGATTGGACCAAAYGCCATGAGAGGCTTACATCGTACTACACCTAGTACATAGATAGGATGCCCAATATCTAGAAATRATATATATCTAGAAACTTATTGCACTATTTTATACTAGGCAAAACAGTTCAAATTATTCAAAATAAATGCTTATTAATAGTTTATTGTGAACAGTCAATTGCCTTGTTTGTCTACAGCAATCATTGCAAATGTCTACTATCATTGCATATGTACCATTAGATGTTGGTAATATGACTACAATTACTGTAAAACACAATACATCTAACAAGCACTTAATATTGATAGTATTGATGTATTTTTTAACAGCTTTAGTATTGTTTTTGTCCTTAAGGCCCTATTACACTGTAAAACTTGCCTCAATTTCCACTGCAAAAAGCAATGCATTGTGCATCATCTGGTCTTGATACCAAGCCAGGAAAAGCTTTTCTTTGGTAAATAATGATGGTAATACATTGTGGAAATTATTTTGTAAGCACAAGTGTGACAAGTTTCACWATGTAACATTGAATTAAACATGCATGTTGCATTATTATACAGAATATCAACCTTTAATGAACTGTAATAATTACAGTTACAATTATTGTACCATACATATAAGATCTATATAAGTCTGTTATTTTGTTATCAAAAGAACTGTGGTGGTGTTAGTTTATCCTTATTCCTAGCAAAACTAACAAATGAAATTACAGAAATTATAATGATATCAAAAAATACTGAAGAAATTACAAATGTATTTAATCAAACAAAAAATAATAATACAAAATAACAATAATATAAGAAAATTGTTTAAAAATATTGTTATGCAATTCTCTGCATAAGTTAAGAAAAATTTAAAGCTTACAAAAGATATGATATTTTATAATCTTTCTAAACTATGTCCATTTTTTCAAAAACCTTCCCTCAATATTGAAAATGCAATATTCATCTCTTTCATAAAAAAAGAAAATTCTCAAAACCTTATAATGAAAAAATATGAAATTTAAATGTTGATATGATATAATGTATATTTCAAATTAATGGAAAAACTGTAACTTTCTCAACATACTGCTTTCTGATCGTTATTTTGAAATCCTCAGAATTTCATAACCATTAATAATGAATAGTAAACCATCATTTCTTTGTGGTTGATCCCACRGTACTATTAGAACTCAAAAAGCAAATAATTTTGGAAATACATTTAGAATGAAAACATAAAAAATAATTAACATACAAAACGTTGAAAAATTCTGTTCCTCTTATCTTTAAGATATTATTAAGGTAAATTGATAATATAAAATGAATTTGTATTAATATTTAAAACAAACTCTCAATAGAGTGATGGCAATTCCTCTCATTACTAATGGGGATTAATACTATAAAACTTACTAATAATAAATGATTAATATGATTATAATAGCTATATAATGAATATATTTTTATAAAGAAATGAATAAACTATGGCATAAAATGTAATATATAAGCTACTCATAAATAACAATATTCAACAAATATTTCTAAAACTATTAAATGACTTTCAATAAATTGTGAACCTAGCTGACTAAATATCCCCTCTGCACYTTATTATAAATTGGACAGACATTARTGTCTGTGAGAACATTCTAACACATGATTAATGTGCTAATATCCCATAAGCTACCCCGTGCAATATGCTATCTAATTACCTTTTGCATCATGCAAAATATATCTACAATTTTGTAGAATATAATGTTGCAGTGTTAATACTGCAGTAAAATAATTCCTTAATATTATCAAATTGCTAAGCAGAAACAACAAACGACCTTGCAACAGAATTGTTTCTAAATTGAAATGATTCTCTGTACAATATTGATTTTTATATGATTGATTTAAATTGGTACCTTGCTAACTTATTAAAGTCAACAAACCAAAAATACCATTTACTAAGCCAGCATATACCATTAATTTTACTGACTAGCTTCAATAGATTCCCCTGACTCAAAGCTTGTTGTAATGACTGGCTTCAAATCTTTCTCAAAGTCTTCAATAACATCAGCTTTGTTTTCATTTGAGTCTATAAAGTCTGATGCAAGCATAGGCTTTACTGAAGCAGTTGGCTTTCCATCACTTGAAGGCGGCTGGTTGGTGTAAACCTTCARGCCGTCAACATATACATAATAGCCATGTTTGGCTTCAATGTTCTCATTAGAATCAATGCTTCTCTTGTCATCYTCATCATAATCAAGAAGAACTTGAGGAATTTTAGGAGGACGGCGTATAGCAACAGGTGTGATGGAGCCTGCTTTTGGTCTTGGACGAGGTTTGATRGCTATTGGCTTGTCAGATCCTGCTTTAGGTTTACTTGGCAAGCTTTTGATAGCACTCTTTATGTCTTCTTTCATTCTTGTTGGTGTTAGWGATTTCCTGGTCATTTCTGGTGTTCGTAGGCCAATAGCTGTCTTTGGTCTTAGGCTTGGTGCAGTAGAAGGTCTTGGAGTTGGTGTGTATTGTTTTCTTGGTGTGTAAAGTCGTGGTGATACCGACATGGCTCGTGATGACTTGGGTCTCCTTGGTGATTGCGGTTCAGGTGACGATAAAGCGTCAAGTATACAATGRAGYTGTACAGTAAACTGTTTATTAGGGGGAAGACTTTCAGGCCGCAAGCCAGGAATATATGGAGATTTTCGAACAACACTAACTTTCCACGGTGGCAGATTCCCTGAAGTTACAGAAAAAGTTTCCATTGAGTTCAAAGACTAATGAATGTTTTTTTTTTCTGTTTGTCGAATTGGTGATACAGTTGTATAAGCGAAAACTGAAAGATTCATGCTGCCGTGAATTCCATATATTCCTGGCCAGGAGAGATATGAGTCAATTGCCTTAAATAGGCAGTAGATATATTAGTTCTTACAAAAGTAAATTAATTGTAATCTCCCCATGTTGCTCCCTTTTTCGCTTACACAATAGCAACACCAAATCAACAGTGACTAGTGAAGGTCAAGGCTACAAAATTGCTTTTGTGTGGTGCTAGCCGTGTGCGAAAGATAAACAACATGGACGACTGGATTGATAAAACACATCTTAATAAGATAACATTACTGATAATACTTGAAATCAATCAACATTTATACTCAATAGTGACACCATGGCARACAATAATATTATCATATTATGTTAACAACAAGTGAATATGCTCTGATGCATATTCTACTACTTATCTCCTCATAAACCATGGGAAAATGGCTCAATGCTTCAATGATTTCAATAAGTAAATTATATATATTGAAAAGTTTATGTTTTCTCATGATCTATTGGATGACTATATAAGGAATAAAACAATTACTCAGCCTCATTATACATAGTTACAACAGCCAACTTAGTACTCTATGACTATGTCTATGACTCTAAATACAACACATTGTGAAATAATCATGAAAAGATGTAAAACATATTATGCCTACACAAATTAATGACAGTCAAACAAAATGAATATGCATTGTAGAATAGATCTGTATTGAAATACCATTTTAAACTGATAAATATTTATTTGATGACATTCTGTATTTACTAAGATCACATCTAAACACTGTGGTGATGACTCTAACAGATCATCCAGCATAACATGATTGATTTTAGGCAATTAATAGTTAATACAAAACCAATTACATTCATAAATTAAATYATTATGTTCAAAATATGTTCAAAGTTTATTCCTGACTACTTTTATACATGCAGCATTCATTCTAAAACATGACAAACTGCTTAACCTTCTTGTAATGCAAGAAGCTCTACATTTTCAATACAAAAATACACTCCCTTTCAGAGCAACAAAATCTACTTTCTCGTCATTAAAGATTGACCAAAAACAATTATTATATTTTATCTCATGGAAGCTCATTCAGATTAGAGGGAGCCATATTGACTGACAGATTAACACACGTCTTTCCTTTTAAATTCATTAGAAAACTACAARTATTACTGAACTACTGTTAAAAATACTTACTTTGAATTTCCAGGTCAAAGCCCTCTTCTGGTGGACGCTCATTGGAACTTAAGGCCACAAAACAAATATCATCATCGAAAAGATCACGCAGTGTACGAATCTGAAATTATAAATAACAAAGATTATATTAAGTAGATGTGGAATATACCCCAAAACTAGTAAAAAGTTATTTCATTTTATTTGATTTAAATTTATCATTTGTGAGATTTGGCAAATCTATTTTATTTCCTGTAATATTTCATGATCAAAGATCAATTTGGAACAAAGAAACAAGATTATAAACTCTGTCTCTCTATTCAGTGAAATATTAGTATTTGATTTTCAGAATCAATACAAATAATGGATATTTAAGGAATAAAAAACAACAATATAGTCTTGAAAGAAAAATATTTGAATATTGTGTCTCTGTTGGCAGATGTTTCACAAAATGACCAGACAATTTACATGAAGACCTTTATTGAATGATTCCACTTTAAAAAACACCATCTTGCTAAATATAGTGCTTTATAGTTATATTTYTCCATCACAATCAAAAACACTTATTATAAAAGCATAAAATGCCATATAAGACTTTATCCAGTCATAGAAAATTATTAAAAAAATCAATTTATTGAATAATTTTAATGTTGAATTTATACTAGAAGAACATAACATGACAAATTTATTACTAATATATAATTGTATGCATTTAATGAAGAATCAACAATCTTATATTAACGGCACCCTTTTTGAAATAAAACCACTGGTGATAATAAACATCTTCTGACTCATAACTTTCTTCAAATTGTACACTACCAAATATAGACATGTTGAGTGAATGTGATGTGGACACYTCGTCACCCACAAAGGAACCAAAAGGAAACATACTATACTCAGGAAAATACTTAATTAAGACACATCATGCTAACTTAAGGCTAGAATGGCYAACAACAGCAAGAATGTGTCAACGAGATATGAATTAGTGAATAAGCTTGCAAATGACAGAACAAATACTAGTCTTCCATTCAAAAAGGCTAGTATTACTTAGAAAAATTACATATATGCATTTTTCATCCCTTTTAAAATTATCTGTCTATTTATCAAGCAGATTGTGTCAGAAGACTTCCTTGGTGTCCTATGGCCATCTAACATATAAATATCTAGATATCTATGATTGCATTATTTACATATTGTAATTCAAGTTAAAGGAAAGGAAACCCTATGCTCTTGAACTAGTTCATGTTCTTGGGAAAAACCTCCCTTTCATCCATGTAGCCACATACTTATTGTAACAAATGACAAACATATTTATTTATTTATTCAAAACCTATATGGAATATTCATTGCAAAAGAACAGTGAGGATAAAATGAGGTTTTTTAAGGACAAACTATTACACACTGGTAGATCAATTAGCATTTCTGAAAACATTTGAGATATCTCAACAAGATAATAACTTAGAGACATTGTTTTAAAATCAAAAATACACAAGCCAAGCCACACCTTATACCAACCAAAGGCAAATAAATATACATAATTAATGAGAATACTTCTGACTCATTCAGCTCTATAACCATATATCAACTACTTCTAGCTATGACTTTGGTAAACACTCTTAGCAAACATCAATGATATTATTTTGAATTTCCAGAAAAGAATCATTATGAAGGTTGTCATGCTAATCTGGCATCACCTGGAGAAGCTATTATGAGATTAGAAGTTTTCCATGGTTTTCTTAATAATAATTGGAGTCCCATAAGGCATTCATTTGAACAAAGCCATATATATTGACCACCACTGATAGCTATACTTCATAGTTTACTGTAACTATAAAAAAACAATATAGGGTTCGCTTATGGTGTTAGAGTTACTTGAAATGAYACAATATACTGTCCGATTGCAGCAAAATACATTGAAACATAGGAAAAGAAACAATTTGTTGCCAACCTAACCATTGAAAAACACAAAAATCACTTTTCATTGATTCAAGATCAGCTGATTTAGAGAATTAAAAATAGGTTCCCTTTTGATAATCTAACAAAGAACAGCTACAAACGAAGATGAATACATCCGCATAGACACAAAAAGTCTTTAGAAAATTTGAATATCAACTGCTTGAGGTGTGGTTTGATACTATATGGATATCAGAAAGGTAAAAACACAACTAAAGTAGAGGAAAAAACTATCCAATAAAGACCATTTAAGATTATAAGGATCATGGCACAGTTTGATGACATTCATAAGCCAGGGATCTTCAAATGAGATGCTGTTATCTCCACCACATACATATGTGTTTGTCAACAAGSGAGGACAATYGGATCAATGGCTGTATAATTGGTTCATGTGGTAATTTTTATCAGCAGACACCATCCTCCTGTTTCATATTAACACAAAATTTACCYAGCCATAAAGTTCACAGCAAAGAWYAATGCATGYAAAGACCACCTTTTGTCACTCAGTATCAAACAAWTTTTTTTTTTRSCKWT